ACGGGTGTTTATCATTCACAAACACCGCTGTCGTTTTCTTCTTGAGTACAACCAGGTGCCTACTGCTGTTTGAGTTCAAGCTGATTAGTGTCTACTCGTGTCTTTCTCTTTGTCTCTCCCTTTTCTCATCTGCTCTCTTTTGTTTTCTTTTTCTTTTTCTTTTTCTTTTTCTTTATTTTTTGCTGTCTGTCGTCATCTCGCATAGCGTTTAGAGGCGAGCGGAGTGTCCTGGACTATTTCGTTGATTTCTATAGTAACCCGGGGTTAGCCCCGGTCTCGTCTGAAGCTATGTGCTCTTTTTCCTCAAAGAGGCGACCGTCTGCCTGTGTAGCTATTGATGCTACATGATCGACGTTCGGAAGATGAATTTGGGTGAGGTTGGATACAAGAGGGAGGATCCATGAGATGCATAACGAATACGAAAGAGGGAAAACAAAAGGAGGCAGTTCACACTGTAGGTAGGGTTCAAACCCCTGACGACGTTAACCACCCGACGTTCGCAGATATTAACTAACCGCAATTATCATTAGTGGTGTCGGTAGGGTTCTTGCTCATAACAATCAGAGCGCGTGGTCTGCAGTCTGAGAGTAGAGAGGGGCTGTTGCTGCTACTTAGACAGATGCGATACATACCACTATCGAGTGAGTTGAGTCAGAGTCTTGGGCAACGAACGACTGGAGGGAGAGACCCCGCCTGTCCGTAGTTAGTTATATAGTGTTCGATACTTGGTTACCATCTTTTTTTCAGTTGATAGCTCGCATAGCGCGCAAAGGGAGTGGAGGATTCCAGGATATCTTTCGTTGATTTCTATTGACTTGCGGACCCCTCGGGGCCAGTTTATTTGAAGGTACCTTTTTAGCGTAAGTTGACCTGTGACCACGGGAATCGACCGCGTCGAGTGTTGGATCAGTACGGACATACGAAGGTACTGGGTAGAGAGAGATCGGAACGGTTTTTAATTTGAAGACAACAACAACAACAACAACAACAACAACCATCGTCTACCAGATATTTTTGTGCATGGTGCACATACGGGGGGTGGGTGTGAGTCTTTTGACTAGATTACATGATATGCACAAAAGGGAATACTTCGAAGTATTAAATATGCAGTCAGAAATAATACTGCCACACCACCGATCAATCAATGCATAGTTGTTTTACTGCTCTGCTGCTGTAGATCGAGAGATCGAGTCTGCACACAGACAGCAATCCGTCCTGTTCGTGGCGCCATGCCGTGCGGTCTGCCAAATATAATTACGCAGACCTCATCATATCGGCATCAGTCGCGCGGGAAGAGAGACAGCGCCACTACACGACAGAAAATACACCCCGCACGGCAGGCACACGCCCATCAGAAACCGTACAGAGAGATGAGGTCTTACACAATGAAATAGCCTTCCTGTGTAGTGGTATGCACGCGTGATGAAGTCTGGTTGACCCGTGAAGAAGAACTCACTTGTTGTTACTCTTGTAGAACAGCAGCAGCAGTAGCTGTTGCCTTATTGGTAGGAATGACACCAAGGGGCACAGGATCCTCTGCACAAGCAGGGGCTACTAGATCCTGTCCCCTGCTTTTTATCCTTCCGCGGAGAGTTACATCTCTCCGCACCTTCTAGAAGGAACCAAGCTCTTCTATGTTCCGTCTACACATCTGAATCCTATAACACTAGCCCACCCTGGAGGTTCTCATACGCAGATACTGTAAAACCTCGGAGTCTTGACAAGCAATTGTCGAGTCTCTAAATGAAAGTATCGAGGATGTGGACCTCCAAAACAGCACAATTCACCCTCCCACACCTCTCACTCGATGAGTCGCAAGACCATCGTTTGACTTCTAAAACGACAAAAAGACACAGACAGGAAGGAACTGACGGGGCTAAGAAAAGCCTACGACGACCGGAAGAAGGTCGGAACCAAAGAAAGGAAAACACAAAGAAGGAAGAAAAACAGAAAAGAAAAACAAAGGTCGTCAAAACGACAAAAAAGAAAGGATCACTGTAGGAACAACAACAAGACCGGTATCGTAAGAAAACGATCAGATACGCCATTCACGCAGTCGCCACGGCAGTGTAGAAGGGGCAACAATGGGCGCGAAACACCTACAGGTCGTGACCAAACGCTAAAGGCACAAAATAAAGCGAGGAGAAAGCGAAAACCAACCAAGGTTAAAAAGCAACCCAAACAACGCTGAAAACAACGGAAAACCAAGACAACTAGCATGTCGTCTTAATGGGGGCGCGCAACGTTATCAGGCAACGAATCAGTCCCGGGGTCACCACGCGACATGTCGACGTTGCGAAGGATCCCCTTAAAAAGGGCACTGCCGCTGTGAACTTGGAGGCACCAGGATCCGGAGACGGCGGTTTCAGCGGTGGAGTAGCGAACATCAGGAAGGGCGAGCTTGACAGGGCCAGGATCGTCCAAGAAGCGGACGACGTAGAAGTCGGACGGTAGAGGCGGTCCAGTAATCTTGCCCAACCACCAGAATCCATCGTGAGCTTTGTACCAGAAGAAGGCGCCTGCAGGTAGCGGAGTATTGGCGAAGCGATGGTCCCAAGTTGAACGAGAGACGAGCGAATAACCCGAAGGCAAAGCCCGCTCCCCTTTAGCGCGCGCCATCTCGCGGGTGGCCGCACCAATACGCATCGCCCGATAGCGACGATTCGTTTGGCGACGTTGATCAGGCGAACCCGTCCAGTACCGGAGAATGTGGGGCTTGGAATGCTGGAGGTCCATCTCACGTTCCCAAGAAGGATGAAGAAGACCTTTCCAATGCGTTTGGTATAAAACAGCGATGGTGCCACCACGGCCACGAACAGACTGATGGCCACTAATGCGGTCAACCTCGAGACGTTCGACCGGAGTCGACACGTCGTCTTCCGTAACATGGTAGGGAGGAGATTTATTCGCATAGGAGTTTAGCACATACGGTGTAAGGCCGGCAGGCAGGAACCGAGGCAAGTCTTCAGTGTCATGCGGATTAGCGCAAGGCTTGCAACGCGCAACTGACACACGGTTTTTCGAGTCCGGACCCGGCAGATCCGATGGAAGATCCAAATACAGTAACTTGGAAGCCAGAGGACAACCGTCGGGAGCGTCAGGACACGGACCCACGGCCAAGATCTTAAACGGACCAGTCCAAAGGAAAGACAACTTAGCCTTGAGGACCTTGTCATCCGTGCCTGAACGAACACTTTGGCGAATGGTAGATTCGGTGTTGTACACCTAAACCCATCCACCGACGGTGTATGAGGGGACCTCGCGCAAAGCATCCGATAGAGCGGAGTTACGCCGCTCAATCCTCGAAACGGACAGGTTGTGCTGTTCGCGAACTAAATCGTAAGAACGACGTTGGCGATCAGCAGCAAGATCGCAATACTCAAGTTGATCGCGATGCAAGCTTTGGTGGCCTCGAGCATATGGATGCTCAAAAACCGTCATCGGCATGCGTGGCAGTCGGTTCATATGCACCTCGTTGGGCGCGTGTGCAAGGCTTGCAGCGTTCGACCGTGACGCGTGGTTTTGCTGAAGCTCCGGGCATGTCGGAGGGGAGGTTCAAGTAGAGGACCTTGTCGGCGAGTCGGCGCTTGTCTGGCTCGGAGGCAGCAGGCCCGACTTCGAGGATCTTGAAAGGCCCCGTCCAGTTCAAGGATAATTTCACCTTGAGAACGGTGGCATCAGCGTCGGTGGAAGCCGTGGGTCCCACCTTGGGGCCCTGGGTGATGGTAGATGCCGAGTAATAAATCCACACCCAATCGCCCATTTTGTAGGTAGGCGTATGGTGGAGGGCGTCCGAGAGGGCAGAGTTGCGCCGGTTGATGCGCGAAACGGTGAGCCGGTGTTGTTTGCACACCAAGTAGTGCCAAAAAAAACAACTTGCGGGATCAACTTTGAGCGACACAGTCGGTCCGCGATGATGTTTTATGGGAACCTGGGATACAGGCTTCAACAGGCAGTGTGGGGCGAACCCGACCACTGTAGGGCAGGCTGTCGCTCACAAGTCTCCCTCACGTTTGTTCGTTCTCTCAATCAGCAGGGTAGAACCTAGGTAAGTGATTCCAGGGGATGAATGCTGTTTGCATTCATCCGTGGGTCTGTCCTATGTTCCGTGGCTCTTTCCTATTCTCAAGACACACGCACAATACCGTGCCTGTATCTTTGAGTACGGATCCACATCGCTATATCTAACGGGTGTATCTCTGTAATACCATAACATACTGCAGCGAGGAAGGCCTCGCAAATTCATCGATGGGCTGATGTTGGAGCTGTCCCCAAACTCAAGCCTCTACACGGAGTTCGGCCAAGCAACTCCGATGATGGACCGATTGAATCTGCTCTAGAACTCTTTTCTACACACACAGCAGTTGTAGCAGCCCCGGTTTAGAACTTTGTTCGGTTAAATGCCTTTCGCTAGGAATGTTTTGGTAGGGGGGGATGGACTTACTTCGCGAATGGGTGTCTAGTCTTCAAGTTTGGCTGCCGCTGGCTTGATCACCTTTTTTTGCCTTTCGTCAGCCCCCAAGCTTGCCCCCCACACGGCGGTGGCCGAGGCTCATCTCGGCGAAGATGCTTTCGAGACAACCCTCCCGACCCCCCGCCCTAGGCCAGACCTAGCTACGATCACATGGTGCGCTCTCAGTCAAGCCTACATATTGTGGAAAACCCCCGCCCCCTCACAAACTTATCTCCATCTTGGCAAAAGGGGGGCGGGTCTCCACCTGGGAGGATGAAAAAATTAAGTGCAATACGCCAAGCTTCATGAAGTTACAGGATTTAGTTTCAAGCCATCGGGAACCTCGTACAGAGCGAACTCGTCGCCCATATGACAGCTTTAATCTTCACACAGCCGAGCAGAAACTGATGAGCGTTTCGCCAAGTCATAAATATGACTGTTTTTCTCCAAGGCCGCCATCGCGAATGATATTTTTCAGATGCACAAGGCTTCAGACTGTACCTGTCGCGATCCGAACGACTCTCGGCCAGAATTAAGGGCCGGTCCTTTAACTGAATCCAACATCTTTAGTTAAGGTGGGGGAGAGTAGTAGTGCCGTAAACATCATCGCCGAAAAACGGATTTCAAACCCTTTTGATCACCACAGCGATATTGTTGTGAGCTCTATCTACTGCCCCACGTCGCTGCCGCCAAAAACAATAACCTGGCTTCAAGTACCGCTGAAACAACACCGCCGTGCTGCGTTATACTGCCGAAACATAACGCCATGTATCTTGAAAAGTTTTGAAGGACTACAACGGCAAACATCTGATTGCAAGAACGCATACACCACACGAGGACAGAAAATCAGTACTTGCTCCCGGCAGCCAACACTTGCTCAACACCTTTGACTTCTCAAATGTGGTGCCCTCTGGGACAACGAAAACTAGAACACATTTCTTGACTGGTACATCCTCGGATGCAACAGCTGCGTCCCAGAAACTCTGTACTTTAGATCCTTGCTCGACAGGCTCTGCGCCTGTATACTTCATTTGAAAAAGTACAAGGTATCATCACGACTGTCCAAAGCGAACGCATCAATCCCTGGAAAGACAAGACTGTATGGTCTTTAATAGATATCACTGTTATACTTAAAAGCAGTGTCGTTGCCCTTGAATACCTCTATCTCGTTGAAACTAAAATCCCATTTTTTTCTTTCCCCCGATAAAACCTCACTACTTGTAGCGTTGAGGATTGCTATATCGAACGGTGCTCCGTCGGCTCGGCGCCCACTGATTTCGAGGTGTGCAGCTTGTTCGAACATGTTGTCAACCATACTTCCTCCTCCAAGCATTCTGGAAACATCTGGATTGCGGATAGCTTCTCCCACAAAGGCTAGCAGTTCATCTCTTCCTCTCTCGGCAATTCCTATTGCAATCGAATCACGCGTGTAATTGCTGGCGAACGTGACCGTGTAATCCTTGAAATTATCGTCAGAGTTCGACATGATATGAAAGAGCTTATCGCCGATCTCGTCGGTTCGAATCCTGTTCTGCCCAATCGAGAGCCTAGCTCCCCGTCTCAGCAAAGCCACATCTGCTTTGCCCACCGCCTCCAATATGCCATCTTTGAGAAGCTCAAACTTTTTCGCGTTAAAGATTGCTCGTGCCACACCTCCAACCAGGCCAAAAGAATTCACCACGTCGGCACGTAGTACATGAGGGAAAACAAATCGCCGACATTTCAGAAGCTCTCCCAGGCTCCACACTGGCATGAATATTCGCTCGGAATTGGCGAGCTTCAAGAACTCCTTAATTCTTTCAAAGTCAGGCGATACTAACACAACCGTTGTGCCTGCGAAATTCCGCTTAGGCGGGCCCTCCGGGTCACTCAAATACCAAGCTGTTGGGTCCTGGGTAAACCCAGCACGACGGAATTCGGAATACGTTCCTTCCTGTGCCCCCTCATCACCAAACCGGTACCAGTCGTCCTCTAGTTGAAACACAACAGTTTTCCCTTCGCAGCGAAGCAGGTACAGAAGATAGTATCCGAACGTCGACTTGCCGATTCCGGGAGTGCCAGTGACCACAACATCCTGCACTTTACCGCTCAAGATGAGGTCTGCCATTTCCTTGTAACAATGACGGATGAACAGCTTGGATCCCAAGTCACTGTTGCCGAGGAAGAAAGTGCCGTTTGCGAGTTCCAGAGTGTCCTCAGTTACCACGGCTCCGGTTAATGCCGCCGCAAAATCCGATACGTTCTTATTGGCTGCAACGGGAAGACGATAAAAGACGGCCATGGCGAAATAGAAAAGTGTTGGACAGCTTTGATGAGCAACATTATTCCGCCGGCGAAGTCGATTACAGCAATCGCACAAAAGAAAAATGACGGGCATCTGCATCAAGCATATACAGCCTGACTGGCCCTGCTTCGCCAACGTCAAGAGACATGAACATCTCAAAAAGCTCGTCAACAAATGAAGATGAGCATGAAAGATAAGAAGGACTTCCAAGATCCGAACGCATGCCATGCTTACTGACCAAACTCACTTTCGAGCAAGTTCGGTGACATTGAAAGCACGCCCAACACACACGGGTAGAATGCCCGTGTATGAAAAAGGCTAAGGACACCGCTTTTGAAGCGCAGAGCACGAAACACCCTACATTGAGTTAACCCTACATTGAGTTTACGGCAAGAGACAGGAGCGAATATCGCGAACCCGTCCTTGTGGAAATCGCAAGGGGGCAACGGAAGAGCCCAGCACAGGGTTGGACAGGCAGCCGTTGTGGCTGCACTACTCCTACCGAAGCACCTGCTCCCTTGCAATACCTTGCAATAAATCGCAATACATGCGACCCATATCTGTGTACCGGAACCAGCAAACATCCCCGGAGTCGGGTCTCACAAAGTTGGCATTCTTTTCAAACGTTCCAAAATTTCATCGCATCCTAACAATGCGTCCGTCCGCGAGGATCTGCTGAAAGACTACATTCATACAAAGATTGTTGTCAAAGGTTGTTGTGAAATCACGTGCCACGAGCGCCCTTTCCTCCTGCAGCCACATTCATGTGACGGCGTGTCGTCACAATCAACATTTGAAAAAGCACCGGCACAAAGACAGCTTCAAAAGAGACACAAGCAAGTGCTCTCCGAAGGGAGGGCGTGAGGAAGGCTGTGGGTGCATGTGCTCAAAATTCTTGAGCAGCTCATTTAACTCTTCTGTCAAGAAAGCACGATCCCCCGAAAACCTGCTCGGCGTACACAACCAGAGTGGAACTACCGTATATGACACAGGATAACACACCCCCTTGGCCGTTTTTCAAAGCTCGATTTCTCAACAGCAGGAAGAGTCACAGCGCCGAAAACGGCGGCGTTGGAACCGTCTCGTCGAGAGCTGTTCGAAAACGTATTGTTTCATTTATGCATCCTCTTCGTCGTGGAGTAATCGAGCTTTGAAAATCGGTCCAGGGGGTGTGTTATCTTGTGTCATATACGGTAAGCATGCGGTGACTTTTAGACCGCAGGCGTTCGCCAAGACAGTAGTGCTTCGATTGTTTTGCGGTATGCTGTCAATTTTCCTTCCCGGCAAACAAATGACCACGAGGGTACATCCGGTCGCCCTTCCCGCAACCTTCCAGAACCAGATCATGGGTTCGAGCCCTGACGAAGCGAGTTTTTTCTCACATTCGTTCCTGGAAATTGAAAGCGGTTCGTTACTAAGCATCTGGACTTCGTTGAGGGTGGGGAGTGCTAAACCCTTCTCGCGATCAAAAAATAACAGGCAGGCACCGCAGGAGGGGGTCCACACCCCCCTCCCTCCTGTGTGCCCCTGGTTGGGTCGTCTAGCTAATCGAGGTAGAGGATGGGGGCCAGTGGGGCAGACAACAAAATCCAATAATGGGAGGAAATAATGTAGGAGCAATCCTTGTGTAGCAGAGGAGGACTTATCACAGCGTTCTGCAGCCAGGTGGGACAAGAAAACGTCGCACGTACTGTAGATCTACCATAACGTCAGCAGGTTGCTTTAAAAAAGGAGGCGAATTGACGGTGCAAAACGACAGGACTACAACGTACCAGCCACAAGGAACTCCTCGAATTGTTTCAAATGGTCTGCTTTTATAGCGGGCGACCTGCATCCCCAAATCTGTACACTGTTGTGGATCTCCACATATAATAGGACGCTTCTATACCTGCGGGGGCGTTGTTGGCACGGAGCTGCTCAATCCTGGAGAACCGGTCCTCCTTCTTCAAGAGGAGCTCGTTCAACAGGAGCTCGCGGAGTTGCTCCTTCTCCCTGCGGAGTTGCTCCTCCTTCCTGCGTAGCTGCTCCTCCTTCCTGCCTAGTTGCTTCAAGAGGGCTTCGGGGTCGGTCATTCCGAGGTACCTGGAGCCCCCAGCAATAGCAGCCTCAATATCATCAATCTTCTTGACAACCTCTGCCGTCTCCTTCTCTGCATCCTCGATCTTGCGCTCTACACCACGGATGTCATCCTGGACCGCACGGATTTCGTCCGCCGCCGGAATGCGATCGGCAGCTTCTCGCGCATCATGATCGCCGCCCCCCTCCTCCTCGTCGCCCTCGCTCATCGCGCTCAAGCTCGTCATCCCTCGCACCGGGTAAAAAAATTGCGCCCCACAAGTGCCACAAGCCCCGAACACAGGGCAGGTCGCACCAGAGGGCTGCGAGAGCGAACACGTCGCCGTTGCAGGCGTGGAAGGAGGGGGCTGCAAGCGTGACGACCTGAACGTCGCCGTCCAGCTCGGAACGAAGGCTAAGCATGCTTGTGCGATACAAACCAGGAGAAGAACCGACACACAATGCCTTGACATCTTGAAACCAATACTTTCTTCGCTTCGCTTCGTAGGGGTGCAGTGGCGACGATGCTCTCTCTTTCTTCTTTCTAGCGTTTCGAACTTCCTCTAAAAGGGGGTCCGTGGATTATTTGTTGACGACATCGACGATACTCCCCGGGGTTTTGACTTCCTTGTCTCACTCGTCTCTGTGTTCTGGGGTGCGTCTGTTGTGGAAGCAAAGATCGGCCGGCAGACGAAGAGACAGCAGACAAAGATCTGACTTGTGTGCAGTCACATGTTCCCTCGCTTCCCTGCTAGCAGTAGGCCTCGGGGTCTAAAAATAGCTTCCGACGCCAGCCATGATGTGTGCCTTTGGCCGGCCTTGGCCATGTGTAGGCCTCGTTTTCTCTGTTGTGGGGATACGTCTGTGCGGGAAGCTCCAAAGATCGGTAGGTTGAGGGTGATGCAGACGGACCGCGGGTTGACTTTCGTCGTCACTCGCTTGTTGTGCAGCCGACAGCAGGCAACGGACCGCAAGAGTCCCACCCAACGCCTCCCATGATGTATGCCTTTGGCTGCCCTTGGCCTACAGCAGTCCGTATACTGCTGTGCTGGTTGTATCGTATGTTGTCCACGTGATGTGTATGGTGCTGCTGTGCGAGAGAGAGGATTTCAGTGATTCTGCCGAGAGCGTCGTGCCCATCGCCCAATCATCTGTCTGTGTCTTACAAAATGTCTTACAAACTCGACGGGTGATTGGTGGGAGTGAGACATCTACCCGGCTCCACCCCTCTAAAACACAGATAATTGTTGGAAGTTCTTCCGTGTCTTACAAAACAATTGTCCTATTTATGGGTGCTCTGCCTCTTGTCTCCTGTGTGGCTCCCTGTTGTAGCACGCGTGCACACACGCACACACGCCTCCACCCCGACCCGCCCCGCAGCAGCAGAGAACAGAGGAGAAGCAGGGGCGAGAGCTAATGTCACCAGCATCGGCTGTGCGAAAAAGAGGTATGTGTACGAGTTTCCCCACGTGCCAACGTGTGCGGTTGGCTCCTGTGTTAGTGCCTGCAGTGACGCGCACATGTAAGATTGGTTGCGTCGTGATTTCAGCACAGATACATCACCCCATTTCCCCGCGACTGCCATGTATTTATTATCCCTTGTGTTTGCTGATGAATTCTGGTGCAAAGCTGTGTACTTGTCTAGCGTTTCTGGCGAGCTAGCTCTGCCACCTGTTTTGGACGCTCCCGGGGGGATCCGTATGTCGAAATATGGGTATGCTCAAAAGTCCCCTGCTTGTTTCGCACCCTGTGGGCCACTGCGTGTCCCCAGACTGTTGAAAACAATATATGTACTTTTTTGTTTGCAGCGTGCCCTCGACTGCCCCAAGTGTGCTTTTTTGTAGTGGTGGTGATGCATACCGGCCACAGCAATTGTACACATTTATATCCATATCTCGTCGCCGAAATACCCCGCGACCGAAATGTTTTGTATGGGAGTGAGCGCCTGACCCGCGCCGAAAATGGTTGTAGATTTTTAGACGAAGATTTGAATCTTGGAGGCGCAAAAAGTGTAGACGTTTGTGGGCACCATGCCTCAGAAAAGTGTCAGATTGCCCCCAGAAGTTGTGCGCGTATGTGCTTTTGTTAAAACAGCTAAAAGGGAAAACGCTCATACAAAGTAGACTTCTCTCACCTTTCGTAGCTGAGTACAGTTCGTGCGTAGACCTTATTCCTCGGGGCTGGGAACAGTGTGGGCAAGGTGGGAGGAGCGGGGCGCTCACCTGGATCACATGTCTCTCCCGTGCTGGTCTCCACTCTCGTACGGTATCTGGCAAACAATGTAGCAGGTTGCTGACGACCGTCGTGCCGAATTCGACGGTCATTTACTCACCAACGGCCCACACGGTAACCACCCGTTCGCTCATGTTAACATGCATAGTGAGGCATGTGATAGACATGTTGTTAGCGGGTTGACGGGTGATATATGCACTTTAACGGGCTTTATTAACTTTCATCCACATTGGGGGTGTTTAGTAAACACCGGTGGTTGTTGACAACGTTCGTGAGAACGCGTCGCGAAGGGACAAGTTGAAGTTGTCCTCTTCTTCGTAGATGCGGCATATCCGCCGCCTCTTCGATCACTCTAGAGGGCAAACAGGGAAGTGTTCGATACTTCGATTCCTGAATATAGCCCCCAGACCCCTAGCGCCGTAACCATCGAACAGTCACGGCCCATTATAGTATTTTGTGTAGATTCTGCGCGCAGCCGCCATAACACTTTCCTGTCGGCAACTTCTGAAAAAAAATTACTTGATATGGAGGTGTTCTTGACTTTAAGAGCCAGTTTCAAGTTTTGCAGCAGTAGCGCAGCCGTCTCTTATACTGTACGCCTCCTCAGATTTGATTGCAGTTGCACTCCTCTGCCTAAATATCTACCTCTCTCTTTGTTGCAGCACGATTGGTCCAATTTCTCCGTGTGTTCAAGGGGGGGCGCCCAGCGCGAGGGCGAAAGCTATGCCCCCCCCCCCCC